TGTACACCATGTGCTACTGTGAGCTTTTTGCCTGGATTACACAAAACATTTTTAAGACATAAATGGTTTCTTGTTAAATACTAGACGGTTGTCAAATTAAGTTTCTTGATGGCGGTTCTGCCAAAGCAAATGAGGGCAGTTCTCTTTTTATTTTCTATTTATCCAAAGCCGTTTGTCAAACTTATCAGTTTCCCAAAAAGAGTACAGCTCATTATCTGACTTTCTGAGTAGAATTACCCCAGATTCTGTATACAGCATCTTTCTCTTTCCTCAGACTCGTAGCTGTGAAAGATTTCACATATTCTTGGAGTAAGTTATGCTGCTCATTGTCTTAATCATACTAATCACACTATTTTTTCTAAAGAGATCTTTTCCTAGAATGTTTTACTTTTTGATTTCAAAGTCAATTATCAACAACTCTGTTTTCAGCAGCATTCTGGCCCGTGACTGCACAAATAGAATAAGGGAAGAATGATTTTGAGTGAGTAGCTTGGTCTGGCAAAACAGAATCTTATTTTGATCAACATCTGCACCACATTCAATATGGTTTCAATGAAATGGGGAACTCAGTGACATTGCCAAAGAACTTTGTAAGTTGTTGGTTATTTTATTTGGGCTAGAATGGCACATAGATTAAGATCTTAACTTTCTGCCAGAATACCATGATGACTGCACTTTGTACTTTGCAACCTGAGTTGGGAGTTTGGATACATAAACTCATAAAATTTCAAATGGGTATTTCAAATGGGTCACCTGAAAACCATCTGCCTTTAGGCAGTGTGTTTTTAAACATTCTGTGGGTCTTTCCATGTCTTCAGCTATGGAGATTCTCTCACAAATATGGCTTAGTAGGTCTATTTTGAATATATCACACAGTATTATGAAGATTTGATGAATTTGTCATTTATTCAACATATTCCTTTAGTAAGTGTAAACAGTCTTTAGATTATCTGTATTAATGTCAATTACACATTTTCAGAATTGTGTGAATCATAACAATTGTGGGTCCAACATATGCATATTATACAGTGTGTAAAAAGACTTCCCCAAGCGTTTTCACGGTCAATGCCAAAAGTGTCTTTATATCTTAATCCTATTTCGGCACACTCCATTTGGATCCTTAATGAAATTCCAACATACTTTGACAAAAAAAGTTTATTAGTGATGCACAGATGGAAGTAACTACACTCATTATAAACGAACAAACAACTCATTAAAAGCTCTTTGGGCAACCCTTTGTTGCCTTGAATTCAGGCATAGATTACCATTGTGTCTCTGAGGTATCTTATTTGTCATCCCTCCCTCCCAACAATATGAATCTGTCTTATTCAGTTTGAAAAACTTTCATTACCAATGATCCACTTCTACAAAATTAAAATCAGTTTTCAAAATAAAAATTTCTACAACCTCCTTATCAGTATATATCTCGTACTTTGGGTGTTTACATGCCTCAGCAATAAAGCACTACATTACCTTGCTACCCTTTCTCTTAACGCTCTTCCTATTACTATTCCTCCAGGTTTGGGGTGGTCACAAAGGGTAGCATGACTAATCAGTGTTAGCACAGACATGCATCTTCAGTATACGCTTCTTGCTTTTTGTCTTCTGGATCTTCGACATCAGCGCCGAGTGAGTGCATATTCACGTTCTCAGAATTCAATGCACATTTGAAGATTTGCTTCAGCAATAATTCTGTTTCTGGATTTGTTTTATCATTATTGCTTAGTATCCTCACATACATTCATCCCTAGGCTTTTTATGGTGCAGTCTTTGCCGATGTGTTGACGATGACTTGGCCTAACTGACCCTCTTGCTGTTTCTCTAGCATGAACTGTTCCCCTAGTCTGGGGCTCCCCGTGCCACTGCTTCTGCCTGCAACAGTGTCATACGTGGGTCCACTCACCTGTCTCATTGAACTCTCTCCTAAGACCTAGAAAGGTCTTCCTGATCAATGCGTCTAAAATAGCATACACACTCTCACTTCACTCTCTTTCTCCATGATCTGTTTTAGTTGGCTTGAGAGTACATGCCTCAACTAGATATTACAACACATAGTTATTACTGTATTTATTGTCTAACTCCTCTACTAGAATGTAAGTTTCAGCAAGGCAGATGTTATGTCTATTTTTTCACTACTTTATTCCTATGATCTAGAAGAGTGCCTGGCATGTAAAGGGCATTAATTATTGTTTGTGATTAAATTTAACCCAGTTCACCAAACTTCTTTGTGTCTTAATGCATTTCTCTGTTAAGGAAGATTATTGTACTTCATGGTCTTTAGTCTAGAATATATTAATTTACAATGGTAACCATAGATGTATAGGTTATGTTGTATTGAACCACTGATATCTAGTTATATGCACCAGAATTGTATTCACCAAAATCTATTAGAAAATAGTGCCTTTTCCCTCATTAAGAATAAAGGAAAATACCCAGTTCATGTATAACCCTGACCTATTACACTTGGACTGATAAACCCTTAAAAGTACTAGCTGACTCAGTAGTAATAACCATATAAATTATTAATGATGTGGTATTTCATTCAAAATATCTTTAAGGGACATATACTAGATTAATCATAGACTTTAACATTTTACTCCATACTGAAATATTTAATAATGTGTTAAAATGTATTTCATTTCTAGGTTTATTTTTCCTAAAGGAAGTTCGGTTCAGTCATCTTGAAATGTTAGTCCTTTCAAAATTGAATCTGTGACATAAAATGGGAAAAGAGAAATTGCGTGGCTGGATTATTGATTTATAATTTTAAAAATTTTACTTTTCACAGATTTATTTTACCATAATGGTAAATTCAAGTAAAATTAAAATGCACTTACATGACAACAGTGATTTGTTCTTAGACAGACTCTCTGGAAGTAATAAACTTACTAGATGATATATTCTATTTTCCCTGTTAAATAAAATATTTATAAAGGATACAACTTGCAATAGTGTAAGCCAGTTGTATTTCTCATCAGCCTTTGTGTTGGGAAGCATTCTGTTAACAACATGCAATTTGGGAGTTGTGCTCCAGGCCCTTCTGACGCTCAATTTTCTTAAAATGATTTTAATTTATCTTAACAAGCTATCAGTAAAATCAGCTAATTTAGAAAATTCCAGAAACAGCTTGGAAAGAAACAGAAATGTGCTCTTTCTGAACTGAGTAAGCAGAGTCCTATGTCATGCTGCCACTGAAGCCCACAGATCTCGTGGCTGAGTGATCACAGGCTTCTTTTCCTGGCTGAAAGCATAACCACTAGGGTATTTTCAGCACGCACCTGAAAGAAAGTAATGTTTTCTCCACAACGCAGATGCAGGAGGAACCCAAAGGAGTGACTGTACTCCAGGCAATTTAATCAACCTTTACCGGGTCTGGATTAAACTTCTGAAAAGGTCATAATTTTATGCGTGAACATTCAGGTCACTACTGACCATTCATTTGTGGGGATTGTTACCCTGTCAACTTGCCTATAATCCCTTTGCCCCCATATATGCTATGTCACTTCAATACTTCAATAAGTTAAGTATTAATCTCTATTTTAAGTGAGACCTTAATTTCATACATTTCTGATTTGTTTTGCTATAAATATTGTTCTTGCTTCAGTGGAAAAGATTTCTAAAAGGAACCAAAGTCTAGAAATTTTCCTACAAGAATTCTATCTTGTTCCTAAACTGGAATTGATTAGTCAAGGGAATAGTAATTCTCTATCTCACAAAGAATTCTTAGAGAATAAGAATACAGAATCTTGGCATCAAGTTCTATCTCTTTAACCCTTAGCTATAATCATGTTTATCATTTTACTTTGAGCTCTGTTCTAAATTATAGAGTTTATATTCTTGAGGACATTGAGATGCTTCAGAGTTTCTGAAAAAAAAAAGTATTCTGCTTTGAGTTACACACAGCAATCAACATGTTACCATATTTGGAGCAGAGATTTATAATACCGAAATTCATAGGGAAATACTAAAACATGTTGGCTCATCACAGGTGACAAAAATAAAGAGACAATTAGATTAGAGTCTTACATTCAGTCTCTAAACCACATTAAAGGAATATCATGATCTAGATTAAACACATATTTTACGTCCTATTCTGAAACAAAAATTAATAATCTCATCATTATTAAATGACAAAATTCTAGCATATTTCTCAATCTGTTGTTGATTTAAAAATATTTTATTGATTAAAACACTCACATATTGTTAAAATTCCTATTCAATATGGTATAGTCAGTATTATAGGAGAATATTTTAACAATTATTAAGTTTGGGACAGATTTAATTACAAGTGTTCTGAGATTGTGAGGTAATTTTTAGAAGTCCTGTTATTTAAGATGTAACTATGACTCCTGTTCTGGGTGAGTCTTTTCTTCTGAGTAGTTTTCCTCTTGGGTGACTATAAAATAGAGGATTGTCTCAGCTAATATAGCATGTAAAATTTGTTTAGAATTTATGAAGCAGGGTAATCAATAAATTAAAAACATGTATGTGTAACAGAGCTTTTGCTATCATTCTTTCTACCCACCATTGGACTTCAAAATTTGGGGCTGGATCCTTAAAGAAAATCAGACTCAGGCATTTTTCCATAATTAGCTTCAATTCATTGCTGCTTCTGGCCCCAAACTGATCTTCAGTGAAAATATAAGCCTGGTCCCAAACTGATCTTCAGTGAAAATATTCTGCTGGAAACTTCCAAACATTTATTCCAAGAATGCTTAAACTGGGTTTATAACAAACGTAGCCCCTAAGATCAACCTAGTCTAGACTCATTATACTCCAGGGATATCCAAGAATTCTGACAAGTAGGAATGCAGAAAAGTGACGTTAAAATATCTGTTCTGGCAATGATCCATCTTCCTGTTTTTTAAAAGAAAATGATGCTGCCCACATATATTACAGTTCAACTTGCCATACTCTATTGACAAGGAGAGATTATTCTCAATTGGTCATACAAAGATTATAGAATGATAAAAAAATTATATTACACTCTGAATACAAAGTATTTTAAATAAATATTTTAATTCTATTGTTGACATTTACAAGTAGAAAGCATACAGTATGTTACAAATATCAAAATGTGGAAAATATGAATGTTACATAAGTAACAAATGTAAAAAAAGTATTTTCTTACTTTCCCCGAAAGTAAGAAAACTATTCAGCATAGGAAAATATCAGTATCAAAAACACAGCTTAGGTGTAAAAAAAGTTTTTACACAGTATTAAAAAAAATGATCTACAAAATGACAGAAAATAAGTGTTGAAATTGAACTTTATATAAATTATAAAAACTGGGTACTTGGAGTAAACATTAAATGGTTGAAAAATGAGTCCAATCATAGGCTTTCCTTAGATCAATTCTTTAAAACGTTAAAAGCATAGAATATTTTTTCAATAAATAACTTTTGAAAATGTCTCTTAGAAGTGCTGCTGAGAACACTATTCGCAGTAGGAAGATGGCAGTGTTCTGGGGACAATATGCAATCATTTTGTTCCAAATGGAAGCCTAATGCAAGTCAGGAGACTATAATCATCTGCAAAAAGGATCAGAAGTTTTAACACAATTTCATAAGAAAGCTTTAAAGTGCTTAACAAAATGACTTAATTTTAGTACCCACTGTCACATAAAACTTACTCCAATACTCAAGCATTTCTGAGCAACATCAAACATGGAATCTATAATTCTGAAAAATGTTAATTGTACTTAGTCTTTCTTCCATTCAAGGATGGAGGGGTTCTTTACTACACTTCACGAGGATTGGTTAAACCTTATGGATCTTGCAATGCAAAATAGAATTATAGCAATACAATGGAAACAGTACACTTACCCCACTGTGAAAGTACAAGTTCATCTCTGCAATGATAAAGGTATTAATTTTTAAAATCACAAATCAAACACTGGTAAATAAGAAAAACTTTGCAAAATGCTGCATGCCAAGTAGCTAGTTACAAAACACAACGCATGCAGGAAAAGGAATTCAACCAAGCATATTTAAATTAAGAGTTGTTTTGAGTCTGTTTCAGCAGCATTGTGGTTATTATTTTTTAAAGTTTCCCTCGACCACACCAGTTCATACTGGCCTGTTTTTCAAATGTGACCCAATCTAGTCGGCAACCGTATATGGTTTGAGTGTTTCTTGTTTTTATATTTTTATAATGCCAGTACATAAACTTCACACGTACTGTTCTGCTTCCCCATCTTTGGGGACTGGCTTAGCTGTCCCAGCTTTGCCTTCTTCATTTGCTGCTGCTTTTTCTGGGAGAGACGCCAAATCTTTAAAAACATCTACATAATGGCCAAAGCCGGGGCCCCAGTTCAAAAGGTTGTCCCAGTTGAAAGTCCCTGCTTGCTGCCCGAGCTGCAGGGGCAGCGTGTTGTCAGCAGGCCCGGGTGCTGCTGCCTGGGTGCCCGCGGGTCCTCCCTCAGCCCTGCGGCCATGGTACCTCCGAGGCTTCAGTCTGGCTCCGTAATTATCTTCATCATCTGCGTCCGATTCATTGACTTGAGATAATTTGGGCATCCTGGAAGTGTATACCATCGGCTTTTCCCTGTCATATTCCATTTCTGAGCAAGTGAAAGACTCATGGGAGTCACTATCAGAAGAAGATTCTGGAGCTGGAATGCCATCGGCTGGATTCCTTGTTCTGGACAGGGGCCTTCTGCAGTCGTCCTCTGAAGAAGACCTCCCGTGGTCTGCACTGCAGATACTTGGGTTTCTAGGGCGAGGGGTGTTTAGCCTCTCCACCTCTTCAATCGAGAGTCCAACTGGAGGAGAAGATTCCAGAGGAATCTGCCCCATTGGTTGCTTTAGGCGACTCCCCGGTCTAGATCCATGCGATGCCATGGCCTGAGGACTCTTGCTTCTCCTGCCCAGCCTTGTGGCATAGTTGAAGATGCCAGGTTGGCAGGCGTCACCGTGCATTTCCAAAGTATTCCCATCCCTTATAGGAAGATGCAATTCCCTCGCGGGGCTGTTTCTGTAGAAAGTGGAGGACTTGGAGAAAGGGGCTGGACTGTGTCGAGACAGAGGGTTGGGAGTTGGGCAAGCTGAGTGGCTTAGGGAGCTGGTTCTTAAACCTTGACCGTATGAGGGCTGGTAAGTCAAACTGCTTGCTCCCAAGGGCATGGGGGATTGCCTCGCAAAGCCTAGGGGACTATGCCTCTGGATAGAAAATTTCGGGGTGTGGCTTCGGAACTGCTTATAGTGTTGGATGATGTCTGCGTCCGAAGGAGCGATGCTGCTGGCGTTGTCAATGTCATAGTGCTCTATCTCCTGCTCGGGAGATGCCAGAGGGGCGCTGGGGATGGTTTCTGAGTTGTGAGGAATATCCGTCTCATCGTAGATCAGGTAGGGGTTTTCCCTCTCAATGATGTCTGGTTTTGGGTTCCCTTCGGGCTGCTTCCTCACGGTCATGTCATCCCCATACGGGGGGATGTTGTCTGGATCATCAAAAGCAACGTTCTCACTTCCCTTTTTCTTCTTTTCCTTGGGTTTCTTCTCCTCTTTGGGACTTTTGGCCTTCTTCCCCCTGCACTGATTGCACAGAATCAGGCTCAGGACCAGGAAGGCCAGGACTGTCGCACAGCCGCCCACGATGGCAGGCACGGCCCACAGCGGCAGGGAGATCTCTTCGGGGGCTTGACTCAGAACACAAACATAGCCCCCAGGACTTCCAGCTTTGCATACCTTCCCCTGAGGACAGAGGACCCCAAGACAGGCCACCACCATCTCACAGGTCCTCCCCGTGTACGACTCTGGGCAGCTACAGGTGAAGCCAGAGTGCAGGCCTGGCTCACAGCTGCCACCATTCTGGCATGGGTGGGAGGCACAGTCTCCAGGAGGAACACACTTGTAGGCATACCACTGATTAATGCACAGCAAATCTCCCCAGCAGGGGTTGCTGGCACAAATGTTCGGGCCGCGACAGCCAATCTTCACTGAGGGATCTGTTTTGGAGATGGAGGCCAAGCTATGCTTCCCGCTGAAAGGAAGACTTTCTCCACCATACAGCACAGAAGCAATGCAGCCATCAAAACCTGCAGGGGGAAGAAGTAGCAGTGAGGCCTTTTAGAAAAAAAGCAAAGGCTTACACTATACTGCTTGGATGTGGTAAAGAGAAGCTTCACAATCACCTCTTGAGAGAGTAGAGAAACCACAATCTCAGCCACCATCCAGTTCGCGAGCTGTCAAGCTGCGCACGTTATATCTTAGGAAGAGGTGTAAGGTTACCACGGCACGTACCTGGAGCACGCTGCTTGGATGCCACTCCTTCTGAAGATTTATGAATGACTTGGACAGGCTGGATTTTCTTTTTTATTCTTTCTTTTCATTTATCTATTTCTTTTGTTTTTGTAGTTTATTTACCAAGAATTGCATACATAGAAATAGAACGTTTTTTAAACAACTTAAAAAGAAGAAAAGTAGGCCAATAACTTTAACCACTAGATCATGCATTGCCAATGAAGGTGATATTGCTCCCAAGGAGTTAAATGTAGGTTCTTGGGAAGCAAAAGAAAAATTTTAGCTAATATGATGGCTTCTGGGCCTTGAAAATGCAAATGAAAAATATGACTATGATATTAACATTTGATCATCCAGGGATGTCAGGGGTTAGAAAAAATCATTTAAAATGTCTCTTTAGGAGGATGATAAAGACACGATGAAAAGTTGAGAAGCACCTCGTTAGACTGGAGTTCACTAATACTGGTAATGCTTCTATCTCAGAGCCCAAGAACCTCTTTTGACACTAACAAAAACGCATGATTTGTTTCTGCTTCTTTTCTTACAATAGCCAAACGAATTAGTGTCTGTATTCTAAAATAAAGTGAATATATAGGGACTTAGGATCTGGACTTTAACTTTTATGCCTTAACAACTCCATTACTCATTCATGCATTTTTTCAATGCTTCTTATTTGATGCATCATTCTGCTCTAGTGACATTCCGTCCCCAATATCCTCTTTTTCTGTAAGGTTCCGTGACATCTGCTTCTGTTCCTACACTGCTGGATTTATTCGTATTACTTAGTCTCCTTTTCTGACTCATTCTACTCTAAACTCTTAGAGATACTCAAGGCAGTGCCCTGGGCCTATAAGGTGATCACACCCAGGTCTAGTACTTCAATTATCTGCTTGACATTGACAACTCCTAAATATATATTTCCAGCTAAAGTCTAACTTTGAGTTCCATCCCATCCATCCAAAGGTCTTTCTCAAATATGCTTCAAACCCAAAATGTCCCAAACCCAATCTGATGTTTCCCAGAGATGTGCTCCTTTTGCAGTGTTCTGCAATTTCCTTTCTCAGTGGCACTACACTTCTTAGAGTTGAAAAGTCAGAAACCTCCCTGAATTTTACATAATTACCAAGAGTTTGGTTGACATTAGTTCCCGGAATACTTTTTGCCTATCCATTCCTTTCTAATTCTTCAGCCACCACACTAACAGGAGCTCACAAGAAACCTTGCCCAGATCGCTGAAATGTCTTCCCAAGGAATTTCTGCAAATCCCCTCACGCTCTCCTCAAATTCATTTTCCATGTGGCAGCCTGAATGATCTTTCATATCACTGCATATCCAATCTTAACACTCCTGTGATTAAAGTTTTTAATAACTTCACATTGTTCTGTAAATAGCACCAAAACTGCAACATGGTCTTGAAATCCCTGCTTCGTTTCCAACTTTATCTTTTGCCTTTTGACATCAGCCCCCAATGTGCTGTGTTCTGTAACCTTTATATAATCTACTCCCTTTTATTTAATTCCCATCAATATAAATTAATCTTTCATATTCTTTCATCATCGTGTACTCAACATTCAGATTTAAGTACACATGTCAATTTCCAGCTAACATTCCTTTCCTTCTTCTTTCACTATATCTTAGAATTATACATTCTTCCTTCACAATGTTTATCATACATTAAAATAATACATTTACTTGTGTAAGGATTTGATTGCTGTTTATCTCCCTAAATGAATCATGTGTTCCAAGAAGAGAGTGGCTATGAAGGAATAAATAAATGAATAAATGTATAAATAAATGTTTGGTGGACAAGCAAAGCATGGAAGCTCCATGGGCTGAATTACTGTCTTGGTAGGACAGATACAGTTAGCTAAAAGAAGTGATGGCTGATAACTTATTACAAACTTTCTAAAGTTAATTATGATAGCCTTACAATATAGGATCCATGCTAAATGAGTAGATTTTAGCTGCTCTTTCCACAAAACCAATTACTTTTTTTTTTTTATTTTTAACATGCTCTCCAGGAAAATATAAGCCAATTACTTTTTGAGGAACAATTTTACCTTTCCTTTGTGACTCTACTCAACATAAGCATTTACCTGTTTGAGTGTCTCGATGAGCTTGATGGGGTGGAATTCCTCCAAGAGATATAGTAAGCACATCAAAGCCACCAAAATCCTGAGTAGGATGGATAATATCTCTGTTATATATTCTGTCGACGGACAATACTGTGGCTGTTCCATTTTTCCCAATTAGGAAAGTATGCCAGTGGCCATCTGCTACATATACTTCAGGTATATTTCTCTCCACTTTTCCAGCAATTCCTGCATCTGATGTAAAATGTACTTTGCCATTCTTAATCTATAAAACATATTAAAAATAATATAAAATTAAAGTATGACATGCTTATATAAAAATTCTTAGGGAAACTAAGATTTTGATCAATCTAAAAGAGAGCATAGCTGAAGAATCTGGTTATATTAGGGTATACTTACACGTCTTGTCTCTACAATTTTAGGTAAAACACACTTTCACATTTAATAGTTTCAATAGTTTTTAGGCCATCCTTATATTTATACCTAATTTTTCAAGATACATAGAATTATTTTCCAGAATACAATTGAGATAATACAGGGGTGAATAACCATTTAAAAATAAGTAAATTACACCTTCTTTGTGATTATTTGTATTTCAATGGCAGTGGTGAGTGTATTATATTGTTAAGTTTAGTAAAAGGCCCACAGTAATCAAAAAATGTGAAAACCACTTGCAAAAAGAAAAATGAATGCTCAGCTAAAAAGGAAGCATAGTTGGAAAAATAAAGATGAAAATAAATTGTTTTACCTTTCATCTATTACACACTGGAATTTTAGGAAAAATAATGCCTATTATATCACTTATTGAGATGAAAAGCTATGATGAATAAAGGGTGAATTCTTAATAATGAGGTGTCTGGGCAAGTCTTCACTTTGGCTGTCTTTTACAATTTATCTAAGGGATATTTGGTTTCTTTTACTTTGCCCAGTAGAACATTGGGTAACAGGATGCTCCTACTCCAGTTTCCAGCTACCAAGTTTCCAGTATTTTGAGTAGACCACTTTAGAAAATGAAATAATTTATGAGGCAGGATGAACATTTGGTTCAGGGAGCATGATCCCATCACAGCTGCCAGAGCTGGTGCCTTGGCTAGGGGATGAAGTGGCCCTGTGCCTCAAATAACGGGAATGAAAGGCTAGATCAGTTTATTTTGTCACTCAGATCAAATGCTATTTCTACATGCAACAAACACATCTGGTAGAACTAAAAATCAGTTCATTTGTACTATGTGGAAAATATGCCTAACACATTTACATACGTTATTCATATAGTAATATTTTATTAAAGCAACCTTTCCAGATAATGATATATTTCAGTACCAAAGTCAGATAGGAAAAAAAAAAAAAGAAAATTCAAGTTAAATAACAATAACATTTCATCAAATGGGCAACATCTCATGACACAGTAAAAACAGCAACTTCTTTTTGGTTATAGCCAGAGTCATTTTTGAAAAGAAGCGTTAGAAAGAGCTTCCTCCCAGTTTCTCTCCTAATTGGTCTCACCATGTCAACCTTCACCCAGAGCAGCTTCCAGTCCTGCAAGCTCCATTCATGGTAAGACCCCTACATAGGTGTACTATGTTTTTATTTTTTATATCATGATTTTACTGTACCTTTTCTATGTTTAGGCATGTTTAGATACACAGATACTTACCATTGTGTTACAATCGCCTACAGTATTCAGTACAGTGACATCATGTACAGGTTTGTAGCCTACAAATGATAGGCTATAGCCTGGGTTTTTGGTAGGCTAAAACATCTAGGTTTGTGTAAGTACACTCTACCGTGTTCTCACAAGGAGGAAATCGCCTAACGATGCACTTATCAGAACATATCTCTGTCATTAAGTAACACATTAGTGTATTTATTTGTTCATTTATTTGTTTTTGAATCTATAGAGCTTTGAATCTCTTATTCCAATTCTGTAGCCTCACTTAAACAAACAAACACACACAGAATGATAAAACTTATTTGGAGTAGAAATAAAGTCCAATTACCAGCCTATTATTACAGAACTCCAAATATGGAGATAGATCATATGCTAGGAATGACAAGAGATTTGTGAAATGCTTTAAATATCATGTCAATAAAGTTATAGAGCAGTAGGCTTTCTTTTTGCCTTTCTTTCTGAAATTTTCTCTTTTTACTATTTTTTCTTTTTTATCTGAACAGTTCCAATCTATTCTACATATTCTTCTCTCTCCTCACATTACCATCTTTACCTACTCCTGATACCCTCTCTCTCCTCTAACTGTATGGAACCCCATTGGCCCAACACTCTTCCTCATTTTTCACAAAATATCTTTATCTTCTGCCTGCCTCTGTGTGTGTGTGTGTGTGTGTGTGTGTGTATGTGTGAGTACACATGAGAGAGAGAGAAAAAAAGAGAGAGATAGATTGAGATAAGGAGAATTTGAATCAGAGTATGCAAAATGTAAGAGAGAAAGAAGAGCAGAAGAGAATCGAAAGAAAGAGAAGAAACCCAACTGCCTTGGCCACTGATAAGCTAACTCTTAAGTAAAAATCCATTGTAACTAGCTTTCTAGCCTGTACAAGCAGATCATATTGTGGCCATCCAAATAATTTGCCTGCTTAAAACAGCCACTGTCTTCTAGTCTTATTTAATTCTATTCTTAGTCACTGTCTTTATTTTTGTTTATCTATTCTCTTTACCTGTGAAGCCCATTAACCTCTGAAAAGCTTCTTTTCAAAATTTTCATGCAAAAAGTATGCATTTTGGTTTGTATTAGTCATTATTTTTATCAATTAGCACTTACATTCCTTTCAGAAAAAAAAATCTATTAATAAATGCTTGCTACCAAAGGAACATTCTAGAGAAGTTGCATGCTACTGTCCTGTTGGAAATGAAAGAATTTATGGGGACAAAAATGGTTTTTAACTTTCAGCTTCTGCCTTAGGGAAGAAAAAATTATGTCTCTGATTTTTTCAACCACATTGTATTTTGACTGAATTTTTTGGCTTAGAGAGATAACGAACAGAAATATTCATATGTCATTTAAATGACACAAGTGCTTGGAAGCAGCTTAACAGATAATGCACCGGCCTCAAAGTCAAAGCCTCTCAAAGCATATAAAATACACTTCTTGTAGAAGAAGAAGATTTACTTCTTTCTTTACTTCTTTAATTTCTTTACTTTTAATATCTTTTTCAATGAAAATGATAAACACCAAATAATAACACTATGCAATGGTGTACGTGTTTTGTTTTGCAGTTGATTTATTAATTCTCAAACTGTGTCCTTTGCTTCAATAATAGAGATGAAGTTATAACCTGAAGATGTTCTCTTGCAGGGTAGATTATCTCCAGTTGGCACTACTGACATTTTGGACTAGATAATTCTTTGTTGTGGGGTGCTGTGTTGTGCACTGTAGGATGTTTAGCAGCATTCCTGACCTCTACCCACTAGACGCCAGTAGCTCCTTCCCACCCCCCCAACTGTGACAATCAAACATGTCTCCAGACATTGCTGAGTGAGTGTCCCTGGCAGGGGGTGGGGGGTAAAATCACCCCTAGTTGAAAATGTCTGATCTAAGACGATTATAATTTGAGAATTTTAAAAAATGATGTTTGTACTACTTATTAAAGATATGTACATGCAACGTAACAACCAGAATTGGCTTGGGCAGACTGAAATTTTGAGGATAAGAAGGCTAAAGTTTAGGGGTGAACATCTATTTTTATTTTTAGTAGTTCTTTATAAATTCATCTTTTTAGTAATTATCAAATATTGATTTACAGGTGAAAATAATTCAGGAAATATGGGCTTGGTTTTCTAAGAATTTACTAAAATTTATATCAAGAATTGTGAATAGAATTATACAAAATAATGTTAACGAAAAGTAGTAATGATAGCTAAAGTAACTTGTCTAAGAGATGATGACTTATCTGTGGGAAAGAAAGCAGAATAATAGAGTTTTAAAAATTCAGAAAGCTAAGAGCTGATGGAAAAATGCATATCTAATAAAATTATTCACCCATTCAGCAAATATTTACAGATGAGAAAAAAGTAAATTATGTAAAAACCTAATGATGAATTAATCCATGGCTCATGAAATGCAATTTTTAAAAATTATTTATTTAAAAATTATTTGGAGAGGTTAGGTAAAATTTTACTTATACTAAGTTCCAAATATACTTAATGACACAGAGTTTACCTAAATGGTAAATTGAATATATGCTCTAGAGTAAAGTTAGATAATTTCAAAATGTTTTTCCTTATTCTGATCCTGCCAATGAACCTATACTTATCAGAATTTGAAATAATTCTTAGAGAAGATATTTTTCCATTTCAAAGACACATTATATTTTTGTTTTGCTTTGTTTAAAAGTAGAAAAAAAGCCATATAAATTTCCATCAGAAAAATAGATTGCAACTAATTCTTTCTGTGCTGGCCTACCTGGCATTGGTCTCTATTCTAAACCAAAACAAAAGTGTTTAGAAACCAAACCATTCAGATCTTTGTTACTCTGGCCAATGCCTGGGGAATAGTTAAGATAGATGATATTGGAATAGTGCCCAGCATTAGTCGGAACTCCAATGTGTTGTAAAGAAAAGGACAGAAATTATGGGAGAAGTGATTTAAACCATGACACAGCAGGCGGTCTAGTCAAATGAAGTCACCATTAGCTTTTATCTCACCTTCACAGTAGTGTAATTGCTGCTTTCTTGGATATGGATTAAAATGCCATTCTCGCTTCTTGTCCTGAATTTTATTTCCAGACTGTTCACACCAAAAGATTCCAACGTGGTGCCTCGTATGCTCTGTCTTAACAAATACTCCCGCTTCTCGTTCTGACTCATGTGGTAGTCCAAGCGCCCTTTGCCCTCTAGGGATAAGGCAGTGTCAGGAGTAATAGCTGAAAGCCAAAGAAAAAAGGGAAAATGAATGCACCCATTAGGCACTTCTTAGAGAGTTTTCTAAGAAAAATTTTTAAACATTTTTAAAAAGGACAATGAAAATATTAAGTTTTGGATTTAATGTACCTTAAATCTACTCTTGAAAAAGTAATTTCTATTTGTGCGTTATTATATAAGTTGATTTCGAATACTTAAATCCATTGCAGAACCATGAAATGTAAAACACTTTCTAACAGTCATTAATCATTTGGGAAATAGTCAAAAAATATTTGCCACATGACATAAATCATGAATATCTGAACACATAGCCACCTGGAAATATGCACTGGAAAAATTTGTTTATAATGAGTTTAACTATATTTCCAAAATTTATAACTGAATATATGTTTTCATAGTTAAACTGATTTGTGATCTTTAGTCTCTAGCATGTTATAAATTTGGACAAATGTGTATGATCAAAATTTATATTTATAAT